ACCGCTAACAGATAATGTTAAATCGTTAACAGATAATGTTATACCGTTAAAAGGAAATGTTAAATCGTTAACAGATAATGTTAAACCGTTAACAGATAATATTAAACCGTTACCAGATAATGTTATATAGTTAACAGATAATATTAAATCGTTAACAGATAATGTTAAACCGTTAACAGATAGTGTTAATCGATAATGTTAAGCATTAAAATTGAAGTGTGCTGTCAAAAACACAGCAAACAGCCAATTCAAAATTACCATCAACGCTAAGTTCGTGCGGTTTAAACATTAGCAATTTTATTTTATTTCGTTAACATAACGTTATTTTTCATATTATTGAAACAATATGTTAGTTCAGCATCTGTAGAACAAACAAAGAAGCATTTTTAATGCATTCATTTTTAATATGAAACAACAGAGACCGGCAAGGAAGGTTACACGTTAGACAGAAAAATATGCCATATTAAAGGCATTTCAAAATACAAAAAAAGACAAAGACAAAAGATAACAAAATTTTCTTTAAAGAAATTTAAATAAATTTACTATTATGTACAAATATAATAGCACTTACGAAGGAGACTTAAATGTCTGCCTTTTTCGAATGGCAATAATTCGTTGCTTCATTTGAGAGCATAAAATAAGTAAAATTACTCACATTAACCTTTAGTTATCACCCACTCCAACTCCTTAAATCGAAATTACTTATCGGAAATCTACTTAACAGCATGCTTAACTGCTTATTTAAACCATATGCATTGTACATACATATATATTTACATTCCTGCGTCGAAGCATCTGTCCAACGACAAGAGGACTCAAGTTGTTAACTCATTCGTTCCACATAATTTTTAATTTTTTTATTTTTTTTTTTTTTGTATTTATTTTTATATTTATTGGTAAAAAAGAGAATAATGTATATATATATATAATTATTTATTTAAAACAAACTACCTTTACACATACATATATTGTACTATATGTATGAACACTTGTAATACCACTGTTCTTGCCTCATGCCGGCCACTCACATCCCCATATACGTGTATTATAACATGTCATATGTATGTATTTGTAGATCTGGAAGACTTAAAATTGACCCTGCCGGAAAGTAGACATGGAAACAGTAGAAAATCGTTGCAAATATCTCAACTTCCGCCATTCATCTGGATGTATGTATATGTATTATTGATTAAAATTATGTTTGCTTCTCCGCTCAAATGGACGCCATTAAGTTCTCTCTCCTGAATTTCTCAACAGTCTGAAATTTATTCGTAAGAAAATTTTATTGCAAAGAAGGTACCTGCTGCTCATGTAACGCGATTAGTGCACTTCGACCCAAGCGACAGCGAAAGGAAGTGTCGAAAAAAAGTAACGAATAAATTTGTAAATATTTTATAAGCATACTCGTACATATGTATGTATGAATGTATAAGATTCATCAGCCCAGCAGAACGACACCTCGTGGATAAGTGTATAAACTTACATACAACAGTGTGAGTGAGTGTTGAGGAAATGATTTTACGGCCCTTGTGGCACATTAGTAGTCTATATGGTGTACATTAATATTTTGATAGCCCCAGCAATGCTTGTCGCCATCGCCACCATAGCCGCCATAGCTCTGCAGTCGAAGACAACAGCATTCTTACTCTTACCGTAAATTACTGTAGTTGCTGTTATTGTTATTGCAATCGTTACCTTGGTGGCACACTCAATTTCCTCATACATACAAATGGCACTGTCCACATGTGTTGCCGGTGTTTCCTTTTTCTTTGCTCGTCTCCAGTGTTGTGTGGGTATCAGGCGGTGTGGCGTATCCAACTTGGAAAGTGCGATAAATAAGTGCAAGCGAGCGCTAAAGTAAATTTTTTATACTCTCGTATATACATATATAGATATGTATGCATTAATTTGCACTCGTATCTTTGAGTATGATATGTTTATTTTCACAACATTTTCCTTTCCATTACCATTTCCATCTCCATCTCCATATCCATCTCCAATTCAACTTTTCTGGAATGAGTTTTTTCTCTTCTCCTCTACTTCTCTCTTTCATTGCAAAGCCACAATGTCCGTAGCATTGAAACGTTGGACGCCAAGTTTTATTGTTACAATATTGGTAGTGTCATTGTTGATTAAAGAAAAATTGCGCCAAATTATGCTGGAGTGTGTTGCCCAACGGATTTTTGTGTACAAAGAAAGCGTGTTATTTATATTCATTCTTCAGTTACGCTCTCATATGCGCTAAAGTACATACATATATCCCAGGCAACCATCTTGGGAGCACTCCGCGGAAAGACTCTTAAAATGTGCGACAGTAGAGTTTTTCCTATACAGTTGTAAAAATTATTATAAAATTAGTAATAAAATAGTAATAGAAAAGATAGAAAAATAAAATTAAAAAAGAAATACTCTCGGAGGGCTTAATATCATTCGAATATCGGTTTTGCTTATCTTCGAAAAAAAACACAATCAAGCCGGTTTCATAACACCATTTTAAACAGATATTGATTTTTAATGCCGATAAATAAGCAATTTGTGTCTCGGTTTTTGTAACACCCCTGAATAATTTCTTTTTATTATTTTCTATAAATTTTGCGTTTATTTTGTGACACCCTATATTCCATGTTCTTACGTTTAGTACTTTATGTTGCCTTAATAGTTTTTCAATTATTTCTAATTTGGTTTTAGTTACAACTATATAAAATTTCATTAAATTATTGGATTTTACTTGGCCTTGAGCTCGCAAAATTATTTCATTGTACAATCCAGAATTAACACTTATTGAAAATTGAATTGATATTTCAAAATATTAAATAATCTCTTAACACATTGAAGATGTGTGTGGTATGAATATACAATATTTAAGGCAAGTTTTAATTCTAAAAATAAGAAATAACAAAGAAATAGGATAAAATCGCTTAAGGTATTTTCGTGGAATAAAAATCTCGAATTATAATATAATTCTCAAATTCAAATAGTAGATTTACTTTTTTAATGCACATGTAAATACATATACTCGTAAAACAGAATAGCAAATAACATTATTTTACTCAAACGGTATTTGTCATTGTTTCTTCTTCTTCTAGTTGTTACAGCTGCAGGTGTTTTCTACACTAACTGAAACTGTACATTGCCATAAATAACTTGCCGCATTTGTATATAAATAAAAAGAATGCTTATATATTTTACATGTATGCATGTGCTTGTGACAGTTTGTATGTATAAAAGTACAATATGTAAATGTCCTTCGCTGTCGTAGAACAAGTTGTAACAAATGCAAATATTTACATTTATACGCCAACATCTCATCGAATTCTCGCTCGATACAAGTGCCTAAACACATACATGCATCCATGTGTGTATAGATATGTATGAATGTTTGTACGTAGAATTGAATTCCACTCAACAGCATCCGCCAGTCGATTTACTGCAGTGCACTAACCCCATCATTTGTAGCTGCCATTGTTAAGCTCCTTTTCCGTTAAACTATGAACTGGGCATATCGTCATTAATGGTATCACCACCAAGTGCTTTACACATACATACATATTTACTACACATATGAAAACATTATAGTTATACTTCAATATATCGAATAAGTGTTATTTAATAACAAATCAAATATAAAAATATTATAAATTTAAATCGTTAACAGATGCAGTTAAAACGTTAACAGATAATGTTAAATCGTTAGCAAATAAAGTTAAATGGTTAACATATAATTTTAAATGGTTAGCAGCAAATTTTAAACCGGTAACAGATAATGTTAAATCGTTAGCATATAATGTTAAAATTGAACAGATGATGTTAAATCATTAACACATATGTTAAAACGCTAACAGGTAATGCTAAATCGTTAACAGATGGTGTTAAAACTTTAACAGATCATGTTAAATCGTTAACAGATGAAGTTCAGTGGTTAACAGATAGCTTTAAATCGTTAACAAGTAAGGCTAAACCGTTAACAGTAATTTCAAATCATTAACAGATAATGTTAAATCGTTAACAGATATTGTTAAATCGTTAACAGATAATGTTAAATCGTTAACAGGTAATGTTAAAACGTTAACAGTAATGTTAAATCGTTATTATGAAATTGCTAAAAGTTGAAATTGAAATCGGCTGTTAATATCATAGCAAGCAGCCATTTTAAAATTAGTGTTAACAATGAGCTTGTTATTTTCTTCTCATTTCTATAACATGACGCCGCAACGAAGCAAATTTTTTGGTATCTGATATTATCTTGAAAAAAAACTAACTTTTTCATAAGAATTTGAATTAAATACAAGATATAAAATTTAAAAAAAATCGAAAAGCTTTAATTTATATATTAAATTTGTTGTGATTTTAAAAATACCCTTCTCCGTTAACTTTTTAATTCAAGGAATTTCGTTTTACTATGGACAATATACTTTAAAATTGTTTAATGTTGCTGCTGTTTGTGCTTTAATAATCTCCACTTGCTGGTTAAAGAAAAACGGTATCATTATCCTGTTAGCTCTTAGCGTAAATGTCCTGCCACTCATACCATATTTACTGTCTTGTACATTATATATGTGTGTACATTATTACTTGCAACTTTTGTGTCTGATAAAAATGGCACTTTCATAGGTTAACAATAAATAAAATCAAAACGAACGTGCAGAGTTGCTTTAATTGCGCTAAAGTTTCAACTACCCATAATGTTTCTTTACTCGTAAATAAACATTTATAAATGTTAACAAAAACCTTTACATGCATAGTATGTGTACATATGTGCTGGTTACATTCCTTCGAATATATAAATAAAGTACTCCAATGGATATTTATTTCCTTTTTCCCAGTCTAAGTTAAGCGTTCTATTTTATTTTATTTTATTTTTTTTTTTACTAGAGAACAAATAAAAAAGTTGTCGATATTTCTATTTTATTTACATACCAATATCTTTGTTCACATAAATATATATTCGCATATGTACAATATATTCTAAGTTTTCCTTTTGTCCACCTTTTACTTTGCAGCTATGAATCACCTTGACAAATTGCGCTTGTGGGGTAAGGCGATACGTGTTATGGCTAGTAAACATCAAGCCGTGCAACTGCCGAAGGAAGGACAGCCGGACGCCGGACTCACACGCGACTACTCACAGAATCCATTGCATCGATTCAAAAAACCAGGCAGCAAGAATTATCAAAATATTTATCCACCATCGGCCACACTGCATTTAAGTAACATTCCGTAAGTAGAAATTCAATGAAAATATTTCCATTAATCGATATCACATAAAGTACTTACATATATACATGTAATTTGGCAGCAATAGTTTAGTGAAAAAAAATTTAAAATGGTACAATGACTGGTCCAATTAAGATCTGTATACTATAGTCGACTAAACTCGTATCTATCCAAACTTGACCCCATGCAATGAATCCTCGCACGACACTATCCACCTCTTTGCATGTCCCTCAAACCAACTCGTCTAACCCTCATTTTCACCGAGTCCGAACTCGTCGAAACTACCCATTTCCTAGACCCCCGTTGGATGTCCTCTTAAGCAGCGGCCCAGTATCAGCTTATTCACATGAAATACTTTGTCCGGTTCGTGTTCTGCAATTTCATGCCGAACAATAACGTTCCGAATTGTGGCAATAACAGTCCCGCCGTTTGTCGTTTACAAAGAGGTAAGGTCCAATGACATCTCCGGTCTAAAGAGCGCACCAAAAAGTAAGCTTTTTTGAGTGAAAAAGTAACTGTTCACTGAAAAAAAATGTGTTTAAAAAATTGCCGTCAACTGCTCGTTGTTCCAGCAGCCAAGCGATTTACGGCATTGTAAATGGTCAGCTGGCTTTAGTTGTTGCAAGATGTGGACTTTAGATGGATAGTGGGTGTGGTTCGAAGTGCAAAATACGTCATAATTTGTCGCAAGAGAGTCCTAGCACTTGGGAATATCGATAAATAGACACAGTCGGTTATCGGTAGCACTTTTACTTTCGGTAGCGATATTTGAGAAGGAACGAACAAAACGATGATGCACAGGCCTTACAATATCTGTAATCATTCTGTTTTTTTCAAACTTATTTTTATAAATTGTATTTGTCTAGTTACGCGTTAATCTACTCACACATTTTTGTATGAGGTTTTTTTGTTTGGCATCAAAGTTTGACAGATGTCAAAATGCAGCTCTGTGCCTTTTGTTCCACTAAATGGACCACATGGTAAATATATCACAACAGGTTCTTAAACAAAATGGGAAGTATGCAAAACCCCAAGCTCAGTGGTCCAAGTTGAAGTAGTAGACGAAAGCCATCTCCGCGGTAGGTAATCCAGCTGCTTGTAGGAAAAAAATAGGTTTTTTTGAATGGAAAGGATTTAAGTATGTCTATCGGCAAGATCGGTTTAATTGGGCTACTGGCTCGACATATACCAGCAATACGCTTATCCTTGAAAAGAATTCATTTCGGCAATTATTAAATATTCATTGCCTCATCATACCTGCCCGTTTTGTTGCTAATATTATCGTAATATATTATGTAATATTATTATTTAATATCATTCCGCCTCCATTGTGGCAATTTTATAAAACAATAATTAAGCTGCTGTGTTAATTATTGTCACTGGAGAGTGCAATACTGCCGGTTAAGTGATGGTTCTTATCCAAGGAGCAACACTTGCTATCCTTATCTGCTTTCTACAATACTCTTTTGGCATTGTCATCCTCTCCCCTCGTCATATCAAACGCTGTAATTACAATTACCTTTATAAAGCGCATCAAGCACACCCATTCAACCGTCCTTCCTCTTTGCTTTTGCCAATAAAAATAATTTTAGTATCATTTCATTAGCGCCTGTCGCTGGGAAACATTTCAGTAGCACACACTTTCAGCACTGTAGAAGGCTTGGCGCCCTTAGTCAGTTGCTTTATTTTTTCACTTTTTTTTTATCAAACTCAACTTAATTGGCGCATTGGCTTCTAAAAGCAGCCATCAGCTGATACGCGTAGCTTCATGGTTGGTGAGATGCCGAGCGCCTGTAGCTAAAATTATTAAATTTCTCTTCACCTGCTGCGTGAGAAGTGGCATGAAGGTGTGCCAGTGTACAGCAACAAAAACTATCACAAGAAAAATAAGCATTAAGGTCTAAATTTAAACATGAGCCGTCAGTGTTCTCATCACTAAAGCTTTGCAAGCGCTGAAACAAAAAGCAACAAAAAATTGAATATCTTAAGTCCCTTGGAAAGAAATGGGTATATTCGCACGAGATGGTATTCAAAAGCGTTCGGTGTGGACGTAAGCCTTTACTGCTTAAAGGGTGAAGCGATTGCTTTCTTTAGGTATCTGGGCTAGCGTGAAATTGAAAAGATTGTCGATGGCAGTTGGTGGCCGAGGAGAAGACTGAACGTGATAGTGTAGAGGTGAAGTGATCTGTGCTGCAGCAGGAGAAATTGAAGCGGGATATAATACTTTCATAGCTACATACATACAGACATATGTACATTTTTTTTTTCGTGCAAACTCATATCAAGCTTGCTGCTGAAATATGTAAACCTTTTAATTATATATGTACATATTTAATTATATGTTATATATTTTTTATTTTCTTTCTTTTCAAATAGATCATCGTGCACTGAGGAAGATATTAAGGAAGCATTCACCTCTAACAACTTTGAAGTTAAAGCATTCAAATTTTTCCCGTGAGTATATATTATTTTAATTGAATGAAGAATTTACTTTATAATTAAGTCATGGAAACAACAAAACTTTCTCCGAGGATCCTACACATAAGAAAGCAAAAAAATTTATTTACAGTAAAAAAAAGGAAATATTTATTATTTACTCTTTTACACTGATACACTTGAGGATTTTTGAGATTGACTTGAAATTTGGTCTGGAAACATGCAAGTATCCTGTGAAGGTTTATACGAAAGTATTTTTGGTGGAAGTGGACCAGGGACTGACTAATCCGGCAAAATTGTGTACATGGTTCGATTTACTTGCCTAGTTTAACAAGAAGACGACGACACTTCACTCCGGGAAGTGGATATATATATATCAGTTTATACTTCTATTCACTTGCAATTCGGTACAGAGATAGCTTTTTGCCGGAAAAAATTTTGTTTTTACTTGAAATTCCTTTTTTCAAGGGAAGTGAATCGAACTATTTGAAGAAATATGCATATTCAGAGCCCAATTTGCCTAAATGGAATACTTTTGTTTCCTGGAAATGCATCCGGGACATGGTACCAATTCTTCTTCTCACCGACAGATTGAAATAAATTTTATTTATTATTATTTATTAAAATCTTATTATTTAGGCTTACTTCGAAATATTCTTATTGGCATTTAAAAAGAAGATTTATATCAGCGAAGAAATAAATAAATAATAAATCCGACTGCTTAGATCACTAATATAATGCAAAATTTAATAGCTTCACTGAAATGCGCTTAATTTGAGGGTTTCCTAATTTCTTGCAATAACAATTAGTATAAAAATTGCACAACATACAGAAAGCCACAACAACGTGTGGCCGGGTCTGCTAGTTTAATGTATTTTTTTTTTTTTTTTTTGTAAGTTTTTATTTTATTAAAAATTAGTTTTATTTTGTTTTATGAAATTTTATTCTATTTTACTTTATTTTATTTAATCATGGTTGGTGTTGTTTTATTTAATTTAATTTTATTTTTTAATTTAATTTTATTTTTTAATTTAATTTTATTTTTTAATTTTATTTTATAATATTTAATTTAATTTAATTTCTTTTTTTTCATTTATATTATTATTTTTTGTTCCTATTATTTTAATTGCGGCCGCGATAGCGGAGTGGTGAGCATTGCTTATTGCCATTCGAAAGGCTCGGGTTCAAATCCGGTTGGTCGCATCTAAAAATTATAGGAAATTAATTTAAATAAAGAATTAAGCTACATTTTCTAATTGCGGTCGCCCCCCGGCAGGAAAAGTCAACCTCTCCGAGGGTATTTCTGACATGAAATAAAGCTCCTCAGCTTTGTATGACCTGTAGGACCCGGTTACAAAGCGCTAATTATATATTTACATATATTATAATTAGTTTTATTTATTTTATTTTATTTTATTTTTTTCATTAATTTATCTTGCTTAACTTTATTTAATTTACTTGAATTTTGTTTTTCATTTTTATTTTTTTTTTTTTGTGTTCCTATTATTTTATTTGGTTTTATTTTTTATTTATATTATTTAATCTTATTTTGTTTGATTAAAATTGGTTTGTGTTATTTTATCTTATTTTATTTTATTTATTTTTTTATTTTTTTTTTTTATTTTATCTTGCTTAACATTATTGAATTTAATTTAATTTTTCTTTCGCTTTTATTTGTATTTTCTGGTCTTATTATTTTATTTGTTTTTTTTTATATTTTTTTATTTAGTTTTATTATGTTTAATTTAATTTGGATTGTGTTACTTTATCTTATATCATCTATTATTTTATTTTACTTTACATTATTTAATTTTATTTTAATTTTTATTTTGTTTTTATTTTTCCCCCTTTTAATGTCATTACGTTTTGTTTTATTTTACTTTGTTTTAACTTATTCTGATTAAGTTGTGTTTAAATTAGCTTTTTTATTTTATTAATTTTATTAATGTTTTATATTGTATTTTATATATTTGTTATTGTATTTCTTATTTATTATTTAATTTTTCATTTTATTTAACTTCAGTTTATTTTATATTATGTATTGTATTTCACTTTATTTTATTTTATTTTATCATATATTTTAGTTGATAACATATATGATTTGTTATATAACATATAGGATATGTTATTTAATTTTTTTTGTTTATTAATTAAATCTTATTTCGTTTTATTTCACTTATCTTTATTTTGTTAATTTTTATTTTTATTTTCTTTCACAGTTTTATAAATCTCTTATTTTATTTATATTATATTTTATTTATTTCATTTTTTTTTATTTTTTTCAGATTTTTTAAATTAATTTTATTTTTTTTTTATTTTAATTTATTTTTCAATTTTATTATTTTATAAAAATTAATTTTATATAATTTTGCTTTGCTTTATTTATTTTTTAGTTTTTAGATGGTTTTATTTTATTGTATTTATTCATTAATTTTTTTTATTTAACGTTTAATTTTTTCCCCCTGATTTCCCCTTAAGTTGCATTACTTTCGACGTCTCTTTCCGTGTACAAATATTACTAAAACAAATTTTAGCCGTATTTTTTCATTAAATTTTACATACATTGCTAGTTTTGTCGAAAAATAATAACTATTTTTTCATCCCACTTACAGTAAGGACCGCAAAATGGCGCTGCTCCAGCTCTCATCGGTGGAAGAAGCCGTTTTGGCGCTCATCAAAATGCACAATCACCAGCTATCCGAATCGAATCATTTGCGTGTTAGTTTCTCCAAGTCGAACATCTAAATCATTCAGCATCCTTCTCTAACAAATATAACTACAACAAGCTGCTGCAATACTGCATAACAAAGTTGAACCGAACAGATGAACTATGGAAATCATCAAAAACAACACAACAATAGATACAAATGTGAAGAAAGGAAAGAGCATTCAGAAAAACCAAATGAATGCAGAAGCGCGTCAAATACCACAAAATGCATATGATATTTTTAAAATTAAAAAGTTCAAAAATTCAAAAAAAAAACACTATAACCAGTCTCAGCAGCACAAACAACCAACCATGAAGCGTGAATTATTCTACAATTGGCGTTAAAGTTACAGGAAACTCGAGAAACGACCATAGAAAAATTTTCTAAAAAAAAAAAGAAAAATATGCAAACAATAACAACAAACTACAAAAACTAAATACTGAAGAAGAACAAGAAATAAACAAGGATTACTACATATTGTATTTATCTACATATGTATGCAAGCTCTACAAAAACAATAGCAACAAGCAAAAAAATATTTGTGGTATTACGCAATTGAGTATCATCCAGCGGTCTTCATGGCAAAAGCTTCACAAGAGACTCTTTATAAAACAATCAATCAACTCTACAACAACAATAACAGACTACAAACAACTAAATGGAAGAAACATACAACTAGATTATTCATATAAATTTTTATGTATACATAAACTTACTTAGGTATATACATATATACATACTAGTTACATAGAATGTATGTGCTACGTCAAGTATGTGCGTATCTTTTTTACTATTATTTTTGCTGCAGAAAATTATTGACATACTTTACGTTTTTTTTTTATTAATTATTACTTTTTTATTAAACATAAACTTTTTAGCATTATATACATATATACATACATATACATATATACTATAAACTACTTATACATACTTAGACGTAGTTACAAACAACACTCTCTCTCTCTCAAGAATATATATATACTTTTTTTTTAAGAAATTTTAAGCTTTTTGGAGCAGCAAATTACAGCAAATTGCAAAAACAAACAAAATTCTGGGAAAATTAGTAAAATAAACTCAAATCTCCACCACCCCACCCACCATTTTGCAGTTGCTAACTAGTATATATATATATAAACAATATTGTATGACAACAATAATAATAATACAAAAGAACAATTGCAGTAATGATGGTTATAAATAAAATTTGGTGTTAAATATAATAAAAAAATTTAAGTATATTAATATACAACAAAAATATATTCGTAATAATTTTTAGTAAGCGCAATAAAAAACAACAAATCGAAATCTGAAGGAAAGAAATATTATTAATTGTTATTGCATACGTGTATGTATATGTATTGCTATATGCGTTGAAAACAAGTTAAGTATTCACGGTATAGTTAAAGAGCATAAATAAGCAAGCCAAGCAGCTGGTGAAAGAGAGAAATGTGAAAAAAGAAAAAATAATAATAAATATATAATTTTCAATTAAAATTTAAATGTAATAAAATAAATATATATATATATTTTTTTTTTTATTAGCGGATTGAAGTAAAAGTCAAACTTAGCATAAAAACAAAAACAACTATTATATTAAATACAAAAATTATTGCAAAATCTGTTTCGTTCTGTTTACGAAAGTAAGGCGCAAGCATAAAGAACAAATACATATATATAAATATTAAAAGGTCACTGATAAATGTAAAATAGATATTAAAATGCAGAAAAGCAGCATTCATATGGAATTGCCAATGTGTAGACGAAAAGTTTGCAGACTAAGGAAAACACAAAAAAAAAACAAAACAACACAAAAAACAAAAAACAATTTCAAAATGTATGTATTTGCTGATAAATGTTGTTACTAAAAATCTAAAATTACACTTTAAGCGAGCATAAACTATATACATATATTACATTATATAGTAAGAGATTTAGTTTTAGGCGAAATGAAAATGAAATATTATTAATAAAAGCTAAATTTACTACATAAGCAAAATTAGCAATTTAAGCGTAAACATGTTAAGAGATTCGGACGGATGGAAGGAAGGATGGAAGGAAGGAGGGACAAGCGTGAAAGCACCAGTGCATATAACAGCATATATGCAAAAGTGCAGTTATGGCAACAACAACAACAACAACAACAACAAATGCACGCAGCACTAAAGCAGAAAGTAAATTAAATATACATACATATACATACATTTGAGTGTGCTGCTTTAAGAGCTACAACAACTGTATGAAACCAAGTTGAGCAAAAGATAAAAATACATACAAATCATACATAAGAATCTACAGGTACAGCAAACGGCAATGGTGGAGAAAGCAAAGGAAAGCGTGCAGATTTATGCATATGCGTATAATTCTTAAAATAATGATAATCAGCTAAATTTAAAAACAAAAAGAAGAAAAATAATAAATACAGGCATTCATATGAACAAACTCATACAAGCATGCACAATTGTTTAAGTGTAAGTAAAGTACAATAATAAATAAAGAAAATTCAAAAAGAAATATTTTTGGCTGGCCGTTATTGTTGCATATTGCAGAACATGTGCGAGCATTTCAGCAGAATTTTTCTTTTTTTTTTTACTCTCTTATTTTCACCATAACTCAGAAGCACTGGCTTTCGATTAAATTTTCAAATTAAATTTCAATTATTTTTAAATCGAATCAAAATCCAGCGCAATCGCAAAAAAAAAATTTAAATTAATTATAGCAACATATTACTTGGGAAATTGAAAATTGTAAAGTAAATTAAATAATAAAAAAAAAACAACAGCCGTAGCAGCAAATGTGGTAAATGATATACAAACATACATGCATATAAGAAAAGAAAAATTATTAGAAAAAAAAATATGCGAAATTCAACTTGCAAAATACAAAAAAAATACAAAAAACAAAAAACATATAAAATAATTATAATATATATATATATAATTATAAAATATATTATAAAACTGCAAAGAATTTAAACAATGAACAAATGCAAATCAGTATATTATTATATACATTAAATAAAAACAAAAACAAAAAGAAAACAAAAACAAAAAAACAACAACTATAAGTGTGAAAATGTATTGTATTTTTAAAATGTTTGTTCGTTTTATTAGTAAACCTTTAATAAGCATAAATATTAAATATATAAAAATAAAAAATAAAAACAAAAAACAAATAAAAAAAAAACAACTGAAACTAATGAGTTACTCTTATGAAAATGTCAGTGCTGTTGATTTGTAGGAGGTAACGGAGCTTTAGGTGCGCGCAGTGTTGTTTTGATATACGAACATTTTGTATGAACGACATACATATACGTGTACGTTGATACTATAACGAGAACGTAAGTGCAGTGGAAACTTGAAACTTGCGGGAAATTTGTTTAAATATTAATGCTCATATTATGGATAATTCATTATAATTATTTTTGTTTTTAGCGCTAAAAATGCCGCTTGTATTGTTGTGTAGGGTTTTAGTTACATTCAAATGTTTGTTAAAATTAAAATAATTTTCTTTCATATACATAACACATACTCCACGTACATATGTACATACATATATAATTTAGTGAGCAGTCAGTTTGTCCCATTTTTTTTATATTTCTATGAACACAAGTAGTAAAAGATAAAATAAAAATAAAAATTTAATATAAAATAGAAAATATATCTACATATATATGTATGTACTGGCGTTAAAATTGATTTTGGTTTTTGATTGATCTGGAAATATATGCAAATGAGCTTAGTTTCTACAACTTGTGAGCCAGGTTATATCGTTTAGCATATTTTCGAAACTACAAAACTCAGTTATATTATTGATTTTGCTTCAAAAAAGAAAATAAAAAAAAATAGCACTCTTAGGCAGCTATACCATCACCGTGGTTATATGAAAGTAGAGCGATTGAAGTATTTGCTGGTTCTTAAAAATTCAAACAACTGCTTTAAATATACATATATATTTCTTTTTTTTTACATTGCTACAACTTCGTACATACAAATTTATATACATATATATCAATTTCAAGCCAAAAAATGCCAATAAGTTTTAATAAATTCAACAAAATTAAATTTTATTCAAAACCCGCAAGACTACCCGATCTGACCTAGTGAGCGCAGCGAATCAGCACAAAAAATTAGAACAGAAAAAATATTTGAAACAAAAAAAAAAAAATAAACAGAAATGAAATTAATTTAATGTAACAAAAAAGCATCGCCAATCAGCTCAAACAAAATCACTGTAAAGTGAGCATGAATTAGGGAATATCTTAAAAAGAAATATTTAAGAAAAAAATATTAAAATAAAATTAAAAAAGCAAATGAGCTAAACACAACAACAACAACAACCATAACAACAAAAACAGCAACAACCAACCTTAATGACCATGAACGGCTGGCAAACCCATTTGCTTGGGTTTATTCCTTTTTTTTTTCTTTAAATGATTGAACAACTGCAAGATGCACCGATCAAATCTGGAACGGAACGGTCAAGCGTCGGTATGTAAACGGTGTTCAGCATGAAAACTGATAAATAGCGGCAATTATGCATATACATAAATAAACTAAACAAATTGATAGAACACAAGAAGAAAAATGAAATCAATAAGATGATAAAATTAACTTTTGAATGTGTATTTTAGTTAAAAATTAAATATATATATATATATATATATATACATATATATATAAATTAAGCAAATAGAGCAAATAGCGAAAATACGAAAAATAATTGAAATTTAAATTAATTATTATTATATAATATACAACAAATATTATAGCGCTAAGAGCAAGAGAGTAGAGGGGATATGTTTTTAATGAAAATTAAATTGCATACATGCAAATATAATTACATATATATATACAAACATACACATGAATGCATTATATGAGGAGATAATCGAAGCAGAAAACAGAAAAAATTTTAACTGTGGCGTTTTTCGAAGCAAATTCAAATTGTAAGAAAATTAGAATTTATTATTGTATTGGAATACAAAAAAAAAACAAAAACAAAGAAAACAAGACAGGCGGAAATGTAAAAAAACACATTTTAACTAAAATTTTGCATACATACATACAACCTGAACTGTCAACCATCTCAGCCGTAAATTACTATGATTACTTTAACCAGAGTTTGCCCGAGACTTTGTTCGTATAGAATTTTCAGATGGTGCTAATAAGCGTCCAGTCGTAGCTTTGACAAAGAGCTTGCTATCATAAATATGATCATTTCGGATAGATCGGTACCGAAAGAAATTCTCCATGATTCAAA